CTACCACCAGCCACTACCCCACCACCACCACCACCCACCACTCACTGTGCTATCCACTCGCCGCCACCACCACCCACCCACCCCTCGCCACCACTACCACACCCACCCCTCGCCACCACTACCACACTACCCACCACCCACCCTTGCTACCACCACCACCACCACCACCACCTGTCATCCACCCGTCACCACCCACCACCTGCCACTACCATTCACCAGCCGCCGCCACCACCCGCCACTTACTTGCCACCACCACTCACTACCACCTGCCACCACCATTCACCACCTGCCATCACCAGCCACCCACCACCACCACCACCACCACCCACCGCCACCACCACCCACCACCACCACCCACCCGCCACCCACTGCCACCACCCGCCACCACCACCCACTCGCTACCACTTACCATCTGCCACCGTCACCCACCCACCCACCACCACACACCGCCACCACTTGCCACCACCACCCACCACACCACCACCACCACCCACTCGCTACCACCTACCACCCGCCACCGTCACCACCCACCCACCACCACCACCACCCGCCGCCACCACTATCACCACCCCACTTGCTACCACCCATCACACCCACCGTCACCCACCCACACACCCACCATCACCACCCACCCACTACCACTCGCCATCCGTCACCCACCGCCACCACCACCACCACCACCCACTCGCTACCACCCACCACCGCCACCCGCCACTATCACCCACCCACCACCACCACCACCCACCACCTACCCGCCACCCACCACCACCCACCATCGCACTCACCACCCACCACCCGTCACCTACCCGCCATCCATCACCACCCGCCATCGCCACCACCATCACCCACCACCCGCCACCACCACCTCCCACTCACCACTACCACCCACCACCCGCCACCGTCAACCCAACCCACCCGCCACCACCAGCTACCCACCACCCACCGTCACCACTTTCCACCACCGTCTTCCGCCGCCACTTGCCACCACTTGCCATTTCTCACTCTTTTTATATTTTTAAACATTTTGTCAATTACCAAACGCGTTTGTAGTTTATGTTTTTCTAAAAATAAACAAAAACCAGTTTATAAAATTTTTGTAAATATAAACTGAAAACGTAAACGTTACCAAACACACCCGTAGCAACACTTAATTGAAACATGTGAGTGAGGGTATTTTGGGGAGTGAAAAAGTACAAAACACTAAAGGATTTTCACATTTTTAAAATAGTAGTAGATAGATATGACAAAATGAAGTTCTTTCTGTGGCTTACTTAACCTTGAGCTTTTGAGATGGTAGTTCTGTTTGTTTCTTCTGAAATTGAGTATCATTTGCATGGTTTAAATAGTTGAAAATACTGTTTCATGTCCCTAAACAAAAAGGGCTCCAAAAAATTGCTTACACCTAGAAGGTTTTGAATATCATTTGCATGGTTTAAATAGTTGAAAATACTGTTTCATGTCCCTAAACAAAAAGGGCTCCAAAAAATTGCTTACACCTAGAAGGTTTTGAACCTTAAGACGATGGAGGGAGTACACCCCATCCAAGACCCTAAAGCCTTGACCATTAGGCCAACCCCTGAGAATTGAAATAATAATAATAATAATAATAATTCTTAATGCATAGGTAAATAGAGGTGGCAAACAAATGGATTTGGGTGAGTCAAACGCTTTTATGCTTTTAGAACAATCCAAATCCAAATTGGCCTATTTAACAAGCAAGTTTAAGCGAGATGGACTAAATTAGATACAGGTTGAATGAATGGACCCAATTAACCCCTTTTATTATTTTTTTTCCTTCCAATAGATGGTGGAGATGGTATTCATAAAAACCCATTTATAGATTTGGATGAATTTAAATTAGTGTAATTACATGAATTCATAATTGCGAGTTGAATTTGTGACCTCTAAATAGATATAAATAATAAATAAAAAGCCCTGCAATAATGAAATCCTACCATTCCCAGGTTCAACTCCAAACTCCCATCAGTGAAGCCCCTAAATGCAACATTTATGTGCATGCAAATATTTGACTCAACTATAAATTAGCTTCTTCTTGCTTTTAATAATTTTTTTTTAACTTTGTCAAAATTTATTTATTTTTTAGATCCTTCTAAGCTAAATGATTCTAAAGAACTTAAAAATTTTAGAATTTTTTGAATGTTTTTTACCAAAGACGAAAAAAAAAAAAATCAAATTTTGTCAAAAAGCGTTAAAAGAAGTTTGATTTTTTTTTTTTAAAAATAGTGAATTACTTTTATAAAAATCATTTTTTAATCATTATGATCGTCAACAAACCTGAAAAGTAATTTAAAAAAATGACACAAACTTGAAAAGTTCATTAAAAATAAACAAAAAAAATAAAAAAGGGTCAATTTATAAAGTGCAGCTAAAGGAAATCAGTCCAACCAAAATATGGGTGAGCAACCCCTCTACTGTTTAACTCATCTAACTATCTAATTGTTTTCAGTTCAAGTCAACAAGACCTTGTCTTTTGGTAATTCAATATGGTTTGATTCAGTTCATCCAGTCAGAGAAAAATTAATAAAAATAAAAATAAAAATAAAAATAAACTGGATGAATAACCGGGTGACTAATTCGAACAATTTAACAATTTGCAAAGGGACAACACTGATAATGCCAAACTTAAGCATGACAGCATTTAGCAATCACTGTAAAACCCTGCTAGCAAAGATTCAGGACAAAGTTTCAACTAAATTCTGAGATCACATACAATACAAAGATACTATAGATCCAACAGAACTGCATGAAATCATATTCTTGGAATCAACTATGTAGAAGTTTAATCAATACTAGATAGATTCCATTCCATAACAAATAAAAAATAAAAACTGACAAATCCAGATTTCCAGAATATGGGCCAAAAGCCTGAAAAGAAGGAGGTTCAAAGAACTGAAACAAATAACATCAAGTTTGATATACATACATACATACATATATATATATATATATATATTTGATAAGTAACACTGATATACTAACACATTAAGCAAAATAAAACAAGTTATGATCAGATTTGAAGCCTCATATATTTGACAATAGATGTGTTTTTGGCTTCACACTTTAAGAAAACAATTAGTCAATGGAGTGCCAATAGGACTGGATTTGAAATATAAATCATGTGAATTGTGGTGAAAGGGCTTTGGTATGTCCTCAATATTGCTGTGACAGTAAATCTGGATGAGGAAAACCTACCAACGCAATTGAGCAAAAAACTGAATTCAAAACAAGCAAATTCGACAACAAAGCACAAGGGCTATAACAACACATAACTACGTTTGTGTATTTAACAACTAAGGAAGCAAAAAAGACTATGCAGCTATATGCACCTTTCATATTCACAAAAACTTTGCTAAGCTAAGTTAATTACATTACCGGATTATCCAAAATTCTTCATCATTTGACCCCACCAGTTTGGCCACTTCTACGCAACTCCATGGGCGAGCTTGTGCTGCAACTATTCCCAGAATCCATTGGATGAGGCACTGATACAGAGCTAATTTGGGAATGTTGCTCCATTTGAATCAGACTTGAGAGACTAAGAGGTGAACTACCATGCTCAGTCCAGCTGGTTGTTTCTGGAGGCTGGAGTAGTGACCTCATATAAAATTGATGTTGCATCTGTATTGGTGGTGGCCACTGGTTGATTGCATGATATGCCACCCCAGGAACATTAGGTTGACATGTTGGCGCCACATCAGCGCTTCCATCAATTGAAAATCTACTCATTGAACGCTCTTCCTCCATTTTCTGATGTTCTCATCCTTCCTAAAACTGCAGCTTGAGTACCCCCTGTGCCCACAATGCTACCAAATGAATTAAGATCGATATTTCCAAGCCCCTGGGCCCCATCACCTAATTGCATGGTCCCTGGGTAACCTGTTGCAGCACCAAATTCTTCCATCATCCGCGTCTTCTTCAAAAGATGTTGTTGTAGCCTATATCTTCGCATCATCTGTAACTGTGAAAAGGCACGCTTATTCATAATATGTGAAGCAATTTCGAGTGGTGGGTTGGAGAAACAACCAGCTGATACCGGTAAAGCAGAGTTGAAATTGCCAGAAAAATTATTCTGTGATGGTAATTTTCTAGGGTTATAGGTAGATACGCTACTGTTCATTGGATTAAACGTGTAAGGAAATTTCCCATGGGCCAGAGTTGGGGGAACTAGCTCGACCTGTTCAGCCGCTGGAGTAGCAGTAGTAGTAACGGTTTGTTGTTGACTAGTAGAGCTTTCGTCAATAACAAGGGGTGCAGATTCTATTCGATCACCAGCTAGATGATATCCTTCACGCATCATCTACACAGGAAGAAGCAGCATACATAAGCAAACCAAACTAAGCCTTGTGTCCCAATCAAGGGGGGTCGGCTACATGAATCCTTGTCAAGGCAATAAACCTACCAGTGAGCTGAACTGAGAGGCAAACAGGTCTGCATGATGCTGCAAAATGCACATGCACAGAAGTGAGAGTAATCAACCAAGCATAACAGTTTCCTCGTTTTTATACATCCATTACCATTTCATTTGTATCTTCATTTCCTAATTCTCTCATTTCAATGTGTCAGAGAAGTCCAAGTTCAAAAAGTACCCAGCTTGGTGAATTTTATTTTTACTTTTTTTTCAAAGAATTTAAAGTAATTTGGACAATATTGAGAATTCAGAATAGGATAAACCACGTCTAGCCATTCATATATATATATATATATTTTTTTTATGTTGTTAGTAAACTTTGACGAAAGCTCATAAACTGTAAAATGTCTGCTAATAGTTCAAAAATTATGAAATAAATTTTTTTTTTTTTGAAATTCCTCTGCTTAATACCATGAGAAAACGATTCAAGAATTTGAAGAAACTCGTCACTATTCTTCCAGGATAATAAAAATCTTGTGATAACTACATATGGAGAACTTACAGTGTTAGTGAAGGTTTCTAAGAGATGCAACTCAATGCGATCAAACTTTTCTTGATCATAAATAACAGTTGCTTCCACTATTCCCTCGTCAAGCTTCTCCAATATGGTGAGTTTGTTTTGAGCCTCACTATTGGCAATATCATTTCCTGAAAGTACAGGGTAATAATAAGAAACAGAAGAGTCGACTGCAGTTTCAAGGGGGACCATTTCAGGCAGGCAGGACATACCTTGAGAAACATGATATGAGCGTATAAATGTAACATTCCTAGTCTTAAAGAGGTTATGATTATTTTCCGAGGAGCAATCCAAATGAGAAGTTGTATCTGAGTTACCATCTCCGAAGTTCTTATCCTCAGAGTTCATTATCCCGGAAGCTACCAATTGAGCTGTGCAGGAAAAGAACTTCCTTTCAATAACCTGACTGAACTTACGTTTCCTGTTATTCAGTGCATACCTGAACATAGAAAAAATAATGTTTCACATTTGCTCTATCACTTACGCTCCGTTTGTCTCAGTGGAATTCAAACAAAAAATATTTTCTGCAGAAACTTTTTTCAAAAAATGTTTTCTGGAGAAAACCTACGCTTGGTTCCATCCTTGAACTATTTTGTACTAATGGTTGTATTAGTGGTGGTGGGGGTGGCAGGGTGAAGGAGGAGGAGGTGGTGGGGTGGTGGTGTGACGGTGGCAGTGGCGGTGGAAGTGTGGTGGCATTTGTCCGGAAAAGTTTTCAAACTTTTAAAAGTGGAAAAAATATTCCGCCCAAATAGTCTTGTTTTCTATTGACCACGGAAAATGTTTTCCGTTTTGACTTTAGTTTTTTGTTGTACCAAACACTAGGAAATGCAGAAAACATTTTCCATCCCAAAAATGGAGCATAAAAGAAAAAGTGTCTGCACAACAGATTAGAGTATAATTCGGTTCACACCTCTGAGTCACCGTTTTCACTTTTGAAATCCTATCAAGCACGGGATCACTAATTCCTGAAAGCATGGGAGTCTCAAGGACAGGGTCATCAAGTACCGAAGGCCAGGGTAAGGGAGTTCCCACTGGAAGGTAAACTGTATTGGCAGTATTCATTGCGCTAGTGCCTGCAAGAGTTTCTACTTTTTGCATACTGCCTTTAAGAAGAGAATTTGATTTTCTCTTCGTCCGGAGAGGTGCCTCTTTTGGCAAAGAATTATCAAGACAAGAATGTACCGATGCATTTACATCACCAGAAGAAACTAGAGAATGTGGCAAAGCTTTCCCCTTCTGACCCTGAGTGACAACTTTTTCATTTGTTATATTCTTTCCAATAGACTCAGTCATGTGATTCCACTGCATTGCATTAGCAGGGACTGATAATGGCAGCAGCTGTGATTGCAGAAGATTAGATTGATCATTTCTCATATCCATTATATGGCTGTTATCTTTGGCGTTCCCATCATTCAAACTTGGAAAACTACCAAATTCAATTGGTTCTTCTTTCTTTCTAAAAGTAAGCATTTCAGGCTGCGGCTTTGGAATACCTTCAAGGATTGCTTGTTGTCCATTTTTTCTTGACAGTGACGGATGCATCTTCTCATGAATTCTTTCATGTGAAATCCCTTCAGCTTCAATCCGTTGATGTACCCTTTTGTTTTTCCTCTGTAGTTCAATGGCAAGCTTGGTTTCAGCTTGGAACTCTGGAAGCTGCTCTTCAGAGAAGTCCAGTGGTTCTTGATTTGGTTTCTCACTAATAGGTCCTCGGTTTGCTATTCCATATCTTCTCCGCTCACCAAGGGTCAACGAGCTGGGTATTCTTGGATCAGTGTTACCATGATTTGGTTTGTGTGCAGAGATAGTATTTGATGGTGTTAGAGCTCCAGAAGGAAATTGATTGTAAGTAACTGCTAATTGATAGTTTGCCTGGGATGTTAAAAGAGAAGATTGTGACATGTTCTCTTGGAGAACATAATTTCTCTGTGAAGTAGTGATAGAGCTGGAGACAAGTTTAGAATATTGAACTCTATCTTGGAATTCTACATCAGATTGAATGTTTGAATTCCGGGGTGCACAAACTTCTGACACTTGGAATCTAGGGGATAGGTAGCTGGAAACTTGGTCTATTGTGGATGCATCATTGAGCTTTCTTTTTTTTCTATTCCAGGAAATTCCTAAATTGAGCTGCAACAAGTGTCAATCATCAGCACACATAATATAGAAGTTTCAGGATGCACTCAAACTGACGAAAGAGGAAATGGATGAGCTTTCCATTACAACCATAAAAATAAAAATTCAGAAAATTTTTGTTCAATGGTGAAAATGGCATATATTCTATGCCTTGGTTACCTTCTCTGCCAGAGGTTCCTCACAAAATCTATCCAGCATTGGCTTTGGATCCAAATGAAGATCAGGCCGCAGAGCCTTGAGAATTCGGGACTCAAATTCCTGAAACATTATAACATCAGGGTAACAGTTTGAAATTAAAAGCAAAGAACAGGAAGATTCCTTGTAAGTCTACTGACCAGTAGATCATTGTAGGTCCAAGAATCATCTGAGACTAATGAGATGTCCTTGACAACACTCTCCATACACATCTGCAGGACCTTTTTGTATATAACTGGAGAATTCTCTGCTGAAGAAGCTGTGTCTCCCTTTTGGGAAAAGATATTTCGGTAATCTTTAATCTGCATAGAAATTAGAAAGGGAGATATAGAATTATCAAAAGTTTGTTTTCAAAGAATTATCAAATAACAATACAACAATCTGCAAGTGTTCTAGTGATTCTAGGTCTTTTGGGCAATTATATCAAGAAAATCTAACAAACCTAATAAGATTTAAATTATTTGGCAAAAAGGTGCAACAAGCATAACACACCAAAGTATCATTTTGAAGTTAGCAAGGAACTTTTTGCTTTAGATAAAATAGTCCTTTGTCATCTTAAGTCAAATAAAGAAGAAAACTTATCTTGCATTCAAACTAGATGTCAGATGCCAACTTCCAATTAAGCAATCTATAAAAGTTTAACAAATGCAATTCACTGTCTAGGTAAATTGGCAGTTTGTGTGCATCCACCATTACAGGTACCGTAGCAATTCACTGTCTATGTAAATTGGGTATTGAATTTCAGTGTTGAAGACACCATCAGTAAGCTTTCAAAACTTTCCTGTAGAGACATGACCACCTACATACATACTCAAGGTAGAATATTAGGAACTCTAAAATATTGCTAGAATCAACCAAATACCAAAAGAATAAGGTAAAGTAAAACACCCTTTCAAAGCTTCATAGTTATTTGAACCAAACACCAAACTGCTTCTCAAAAATACTCCATGTTTCAAACTCCTAGGTTGGTGATAAAATTAGAACATTACATTAAATATTTCTTGTAGACAAGTTGACCCTCTCAACTTTGCCTGAAGGTAGACAAGTTGATCTTACTGTTTTTTCATCACAAGCCAGAGTAAAACTAGAGGTTGCGCCTAACATCAGAACCTCAAACATATTGACATAGTGCAAAGATTAGAGTACTTGCCAACAATTAAGTGGACAGATTCATAGATGTGTGCAAGCAAGCAAGTCAAATTTCTGTGAGTCTTAACAACTCCGGGAAAGAAAACTATAAAATTGTTTGTAGTTCCTTCCTTCAAGTAGAGACAAACAATTCTAACACCTAAATGTCTACAAAAACATTAAACACACGAACATCAATATGCAAATCAGCAAGACAATACTCTTTTCAATAAATCCAAAAAGAAGTCTGTAGTTTTTATCTCACCTCACACAAAAGAGCTCCATTGACATATTTGCAGGGAAGATCATCAAAAATATCTCCTGGTAAGCACCCACTCTCAATTGCCTGAAGTAAATAATGTACACAAAAAGCACATCATAATAAAAATTATATTTTGTCTCTGCAGCTGGCTTTCTTCAATAGAAAAAAAAAAGACTAATAATCGCAAATACTGTACACTAGATAACCAGGAACAAATTTTATGCATATTAAATAATTGAATAATATAAACTGTATTGAAAAAATAATGGAACAAAAAATTGCATGCCTGTTGTTCAATTTATCTCCTTATTTCAACCATTTATTTTTTCTATTCTATTGTTACAGCAGGGTTCTGTCACCCTTTTTAGTCAAAACTAATCCCTATGGATGCATGCTGTCACCTGCAAACCAAATGCATAGCATAAAAAAGTGTTGAACTACTGACATCTAGTTCCTGAATCACCACATGGCTCAACTCACTTACCCATGAAGCTTAACTTTATTTCCATTTCAATGTTTAGTATAAGTTCAAACCTTCAATGTTTCATAAAAACACCAATGTTCTGACAACCTATGGGAACTTAGGAAGAGAGAGAATACAAAAAGAAGAATAAAATTTTTGGATCATTTCAATATTGCACGCAATAGACGAAAGGCTTTTAATACTCAAACTCATTGACTTTTTTAATACTCAAACTCAGTGGCTCTCACACATGCTAATAGAATTATGGAATATCTAAAATGCTAGTTACAGGTCACATGATCAACCCTCTATATATACAAGGATGTACTACAGTTACCTTTTGGAATATCCTTTCTCTCCTAGTGGCTTTGCATTTTATCAGATACCTCAAGGCTCTCCACAACCTTTCTCTCTCTACAGGTTGCTTTGTTTCACATCCAGACAACCCCCCTTTTCTCAACCACTACTGATTTGTTTTGCCACTCTTCAGACACTCAGTGTAACTCAGTCAATACTTTTCTACACTAGAAATCCTACCATATGTCTGTTTTTGTTTTTGTTTTTTTTTTTTTTTTTTTTTTTTTTTTTTTTTGTGGTTGGGGTTTTTTTCCCTGCCCTTCCAAGGCAAAACACAAGTGTTTGGTGCAAAACCGGACACTAAACGGTCAAGTTCGGAGATCCTGAGGCGGGGCGCTCGAGCCGAGACCTCCGGGAACTCCAAACGAACACAAACATGGATAATCACCGAGTATTCAAACGGTGACGTCCAAGTCTTGAGGACGGTCAAAAATGGGGTGTCTACACTCAGTCAATACTATTCTACACTAGAAATCCTACCATATGTCTGTTTTTGTTTTTGTTTTTGTTTTTTTTTTTGTGTGTGTTTGCTTAGCTTTTGTTGATCTTCCCTACCGTATTTTGTTGCTAAGTCTAGAAGCATCATATGCTGCTTCTCTTATCCCACAACAAGATCCTTTTTAATTGTTCTTTAGAAATTTTTACACTGTTTGAAGGAAGCTACCTAGTGCCTTGTGATTTACATAAGGGAAGGACATGATAGATGGATGGAGGGTTTTATACTTTCTATTTGCTATTCCTTGTGGAATGTACTTTAAACCACAAGCCTAGTTGATAATCAGAAAAGGTGTTTGACATGTATAACATGTTGAAGATTATTTTAGTAAGCCATCATTAAAAATTCAAAGATCTATCAGATTTTAGTATTTGGAAATTATAATACTCAAAAAAAAGCCCATGTTTTACCAAACATAAGAGCTACCTTTTTTTTATTTATCAGCCAGACATAACAGCTACCTTTACCAATGTTATACGTAAAATTGTCATTTTTAGCACACTATTTGAGGATCAGCCCAAAATGATAATACCTTTTTTAAGTAGTTGAATCAATTTAGCCCCTTTCAAAAATGTGTAAAGCATCGTAGAAGTAAGATAACACCATTACAATGCGCACAATCCTGGATGCTATTATTATACACCATATAGTTAATAATATTGATGAGATTATATCATCTTATTTGAGAAAACAAAGTGCAATGCACTCGAATGCTACAAGCTATGTGACATTGTATTCACTTATTTAAGAAACAAGACCCAGTGCACTCGAATACTACAAGAAATGTTACCAGATATTAAAGTTTATATTCATATTAGGATACTACAATGAGGCATGTGCTATACAAACACTTCCTATACCATATTGTTTCACTATTATTCAGTAGTTCAAATTAAAAATCATAGAATTTGACAATTAGTGGAAAGGTATATAGTAGTTGTAAGTATTAACTTGTAACAAACTACATCCTCCTACATTAGCGGGAAAAATGATTGTCAGTAAAGTGGCAGCTTTTTAAAAGAGGACAAAATTACCATTTTGCCCCATGTTTAATATTTGTTGATCATATAAAAAGTTTCAAAATGAATTTGCTGGCTTTCTAAAATAGTACAGATCATGCGTAGGCAAACTTTGATAAACAGTAGTTGTGAAAACAAATTAACAAATAATCAAGTACCATATTGCAGTGTGATAACACTTGAAGTTTGATACCAAAGCAAGGTTTTTTGAACCTTTTTTTCAAAAGAAGAGCATACCCTTTATAACTTGTTACTAGTTCTATAAAAGTTCAAAGAGAACGTATAGAAAGACAAGATTTAATATAACCCAGCTTAGCCTTATGCTCAAAGGGAATATACAAACTTACACAGAAAAGGATCTCTGATGCCCTGTCATAGGGATGCAACTGCTTGGGAATGTTGTCAAACAACTGAAAACATGCATTCCAGTGAATTTATGCAATGCCAATAGAAGGAAAACATAAGAGAATATAATTGCATTATGATAATGACAACTGCCATACATTAGGAATTATTTAACTTTCATTTCTTAAGAATGCTGACCTGATAGGGTTTTCCAACAGAGAAGCCACTTGGAAACAAGTTCAGTGAAAAGGAAACCTCTGGAACTGCTGAAAAACAAACTGTAGAGACTCAGATATGAAGAGAGTCTGAAGATGTCATTGCAATTACAAATGCTGTTTAAAATACCTTCTGAAACCGAGCGCAATCCAGGCTTGGCCAATGCATGTGAATAGTCTGTAACTTTATCTCCTAATCCAACGAGATCACCCTATGTCAAAAAAAAGTCAATGAATTCACTTCCAATATGGATGAATCATGTATCCTACGTTCAATTCACAGGAAATGAAAGACATAGGAAAACAAAACTGTTTTCCTTTTCCTTTCCAGCTTGCATATTCAATTGTTGCAGAAAAATGTAGGTCCCACCATAATTTCTTTCTTGAAGGAAACATTTCCCTCAAATAATTTTCTATAAAAAGTACAGGATCATGCATCATGCGAGTTCAAATTGTTTTTATAGATAAACTTACTTGTAAACTAAACAATTAACAAAAAAAAGTAAATCATTTGCATTTTCTTTTCCTTTCCTTTACACCATTCCTAACAATTGAATGGAGCCATAGAGACCAAGCTTTATGCTTCAAGTTTTGTATAAGGGTTAAATTTCTAAGAAGAAAAATGAATCTCATGTGAAATGGTGAAATTAAATAGTAAAATAATATAATAACAATATGATGAAGCTGTAATACCTAAAACGTGGATCGTTCCGGTATGTGAAACGGGAATGAGAACATGGTACGCCACTTGCTCTAAAATGTGGTACGATAGGGGTAGACTTGTATAGATTATACTATAAGAATTTAAGGTACCAAAGTAATTTTCTTTTAACTATTAGGTATCCAATAAAATGTAGGTTTTTTTTTTACCCAAATTAATCGTGTAGCAAAACATTTCTATAAGCATTGACCCATTTTTGACGTTTTGCCGTGTCAAAACTTTACTCACCTTGATTTTAATTCATTATATATTTTTTTCCCTCCTACGAAAATATATAGGAACAAACTTTTGAGATCACTTTGGATCACTAAATTTATCATTTTGGAAAGAACGTCCGTTCCAAAACATAATTCACTAAGGTACTAGCGTTTTCTAGTAGCACTACAAATAAGCTATTTAGGACACATTTGTCATGTTGAAGATCAACCCTTTTAAACTGCATTTATATTTGTAAGGTGATTGGCCTCCACTTCTCTTACTCTCTTAAAATGCCAAAGATGCCTCCTTTCAATTTCAACCTGATCCCCAACAAAGACTCCCCCCCTCTCCCCTTCTTCACTTCAACTTCACTATGCATTCTTGTTGCAAGGCACAAACACTAGCTGAAAAAAACGTTAGTATTATTGCGCAAACATAGGCTCCAATGATGGCTAATGTGTTTTTTTCATCACTAATTCAAGGATTTGCTTTGCTGATTATATATGTTTTGCACACACACACCCATATGCTTATTTCAATCTTTTGACCATAAATTTGTACAAATATGGAATTTTCTTCAAATGCGATAGATTATGCATATTATAAGAATGGGCTCAAAACTTGCTAATGCCAAAACACATTTGCTCCTCCATTTCCTTTTATTAAACTTTTTACAAATATATATATAGATATATATATAAATATATTTTAAAGTGCGTCCATTCTTCCAGGACTGGCTCTAACATTTTTGGGGCCCAAAGTGAAATCCTGACAAAATTTCATAATTTAAAAAGAAAATAATTATGATCAAAAGATTACGTATCTTTTTTATTTTTTTACATTGCTTACAAAAAGGTTACTTCCCACATACAACTATTAAAATTTACTTGAATATATAGCAAGGTTTACAATAAATAAATAAAAAATGATCAAAATAATCCGAGCACAAGTACTAAATAAAAAATGTAAAAACTATAACAAAATATGACTTGAACATCACCATTCTCACATTTTAACAACAAAATTGTTAATCAAGCTTGCATAATCCAACTTATCAACTAAATCATTTTCAATGGATAAAATCGTTAATTCTTTCTATCTTTCTTGTGACACAGTTGACCGAAGATAATATTTAATCAACTTTAACTTCGAAAAGATTCTTTTCCCATAAAGATGTTGGTCCTTCGTTCAAGACTTGGGTCAAGTCTAAGTCTATCACAGTTACCCCTGACCTTATTCATGAGCTTTTAGGTATTGGTAATGTCTTTCCTATTTACTATCCTTTCCCTGTTCGACCCACCTGTGATTTCAATGAGGTGGCCATTGCTTTATATGGTACATCTCGTTCGTGGCTCCCGGGCTCTTTGATCAAACAAAATGAGCTCATTCCCCAGTTTCGTTTACTCAATCTTATTGTTTGTGCCAACATCATTAATAGCTATAAAAAAATAAATTGGGGCCCCTTTTTTTGCCTATTTTTTGAAGGCCCAAAGTGGCAACTTTGCTTGCTTTATGCCAAAGTCGGCCCTGCATTCTTCTATGAATATATCATAATAACAAAACAAAAATGCATCAAAAAATTAGAGAAAGGGGTGAACTGAGAAAAGCGGGCTTTGCAGTGTCATTGTCAAGCTCTAAACAACACTAATTATCATTAAAACAAATGACACACACCCTCCCTGTAAAAACGACAACAGATACTACATTTCATGTAACTATACATACGGTCAAAACAAAAATAACCATGAATCATTGGACAAACACAATGTCAATATTACAATACAAGTAAACATTGTTTCCCATTACAGAACATTAATATATCTATTCTATTATGTAAAGTGTAAAACCCCAGTTTGGTATGAAGCTTTGTCACTTTTTATTTCTTTTTCTTTTTTCATTACCAAATTATCTCAGTTTTAGATTTCAAATTTCAAATTTTCATAACTACTTCAAAAAAAAAAAAAAAAAAAATCCACGCCTTCTTGTAACAAATAAACATACAAAACCAACATATATAAACGCAACACAACCCAAAAGGGTCGTCTTTAGATATATACTCAACGAACAAGACACAGAAAATACCCATGAATCAAAAACAAGTCCATTGAGAGAGAAATTAAAACATGGGTTCTCTTGGAAATAGCATATATATATGTATGTAAATATACCTCATTTTCTCGATATTGAGAGTCAGTTGTTGGGTCATTATCAATTTCTTTGTCCTCAAATTGAAGCAACTTTGGCCTATACCTAGTTCCTGACTTTGCCACCTTGAAGGAGATCCCCATTCTCTCTTTTTCATTCAGGAATTTCACCGAACACCTTCAACAACAGAGATGTTATCTACATAAACTCACATATATCAACAGAGAATGTAGAGAGAGAGGGAGAGATGTTATCTACATAAACTCACATATATCAACAGAGAAGGTTTCCGATTTATAGGTCGCCACCTTCGCCATGAACGCTAACACGTAGAGGTGTTGGGGCAGCTCAAATTTTGGCCCTGTCGATTTATTAATTTACCTTTAGGGCCTGTTTGGGAGATGATTCTTTGTCTTTTTCTTTTCTTTTTCTTTTTTTGTGTGTGGCTTTTTAGTTTTTTTACTAAAATGTAAGGTGAAAAAATAAACTGATTTCATTTGGGATATGGATTGACTTTTTAACTTTGGATTAAAAAGTGGATGAATTTTTTGATGTCTTTGACTTTTGTAATCCAAACTAAACCAATGAATCATTTTTTTCCACTCGATTCTATCTAAGATCATGTCATTAGTCAAATTAAGAAAATTCATATATCTATTTACTATACTAGTCCACGTTAATCTAAATTTATCCCTTCTCCTAACACTACCATATGTCGTGACTGTATCACGTCTCTTCACTACTGCCTTTATTGGTCTCCGTTGTAAATGACCAAACCATCTTAATCTATTATCTCTCAACTTATCTTCTATCAGTATTACTTCTATTCATTCTCGAATATACTCATTCCTAACTCTGTCATATACTCATTCCTAACTCTGCCATTTCTAGTCTTATCACACATCCACCTTAGCATCTTTATCTCAGCGACATTCATCTTTTTGACATATTGTTTCTTAGTTGCCTAACATTTCGTCTCATACAACATCTTCTATAGAACTTCCCTTTTAGTTTAATGATACTCATTTATCATACAGTACTCCAGACGCACTCCTCCACTTAAGTCACCCCGCCTTAATTATGTGATGTGATAATTCATCCTAAATAACGAAAATGTTCACTCTTAAGTAGTTTTTGATTCTCAATCTTCACTTCTCTTCTACTTCCATTATAACTGTTATTAAAATTACACTTCATATACTATGTTTTAGTTCTATTTATTCTAAATCCTTTATAATCAAATGTTTTTCTCCAAATCTCTAACTTAGTGCTAACTCCTTCTTTAGTCTCATCCACTAATACAATATCATTTGCACAGAAAAAAAACATACACCATAGCACATCATCCTGAATATTACGCGTCAACTGATCCACAACAAAAACAAAAAGATAAAGACTCAAGGTTGATCCTTGGTATAACCCTATGAAAATTGAAAATTCACTCGTCTCTCCAGCAGGTGATCTAATAGTGGTCACCACACCTTCATACATATCCATAATCACATCAATGTAACCTTTTGTCACCCCTTTCTTCTCTAACACCTACCAGATTATATCCTCGAGGTACTCTATTATATGTTTTCTCATGATCAATAAAAATCATATGAATTCCTCTCTTTTTTTCTCTGTACTTTTTTATTACTCTATACTTCTTTGACTTTTGTGAGAGAAAAAATAAAATGATTATGGTTTTAATATGACATTTTTTAGCTTGGGGTTAAAAAATCTATGTTGTCTTTTCTATAGCTATTTTAGCCCCAACCTAACCCATCATGCCAAACTAGTGCAATATGTTTGATTTGGTTTTTAAAAACTTATTTCATAATTTTTTAAATTAAAAATTAATTTGATAAAAAAATAAGAAAATCATAAACACTTATCATTATTATATTATTTTATCTTTTGGGAGTCATAAATAATTTTTGAAAATTTAAAATTTTCTTTTTTTGATATTTATTGTTATCAAATTAGTTACTATTTATTTATTTATTTTGAAAAACAAACCAAATAAGGCCAAATTTTTTAGGAATAATTTTTTTTTAAAATAAGAAGAAATTGTATAAAAAAAAAGTAAAATGAATGTGAAAGAATTTTTAACCTTTTTACTAAATGTCTGTGCTATGTGTTTTTTTGAAAAATATTTGTGAAAGTAAGTGAAATGTAATTATATTTCATTAACATTTTGCTTATCTTTTTCCTTACTATTTCCAAATTTCTTCCCAAATTCATGAAGTAAACGCATCCTAAGAAATTTGTCAGCCAGTGTTGGACATTGTCGATTAAAATTTGTATTTAGGAATGTTTTTAAAATAAGTGAAAAATTGAAGGTCCAATATGGTATTACTTATGTGATAAGTTTGTATCAAGTTTGAGCCATGAGTGCTTATAATGTCGGCATTTCTTATTAATTAATAGCTTAATTTTTATTTATTTTTCACATGTTAGTATTTATTAGAATTAAATTGAATTTTACTTCTCTCGAATTGTTATCTTAATTTGAGATAGCGTTTGAGCTTGGTAAGCTTATGTTGTGATCGAGTTCGGTGATCCAAACCATTCATTTTTTAAGACTCAATGAGTAGAATATTCATGCAAAAAATCAAGATGATTGGAAATCAGTAACTATATGTTTGAATCATATTTGTTTTTAAAAATAGACAACAAACATAATTTCAAAAATAGCTATCTATTTTTTATAATACAAATTTGATTCAAATATATAGTTATTGATGTCCGATCATCTTGATTTTATACATAGATATTCTACTTAACGAGTCCTAAAAAATGAACGGTTTGAATTACCAAAATCAGTCCCAAAATGGGTCTGTCAAGCCCAAATTCACTCTAAAGTTAAGATGACCAACTTGAGATAAGTTAAACCCAATTAAATTACCATAACAAGTCAACGTCACTCCATTAATTTGTATTATAATGTTAGACAGTGTTGGGCATTGTTTAATATTAGAACTTATAGTAGAAGTATCTTTAAAATAAGTGAAAAATTAAATGTCCGGTTTGGTATTACTTATGTGTTGAGTTTGTCTCAAGTTTGAGTTGTGAATGCTCATCATGTCAACAATTCATATTAATTAATAGCTCAAATTTATTTTGTTATTTTGTCACATGTCAATACTTAGTAGGTTAGTGTAACACTTCTAAAAAAATCCTTGTTCGCTTGAGCGGTGGAGTTACCACTCGAGTAGTTTATTGGGACTTCTAGTACTTTGTTTTGCAATCTGAGATATTGGGAGTTTGTTTTCTTCACTCGAGTGCAGGTTTTACCGCTCTAGCGGTCTTATGTCTCTTATGCTCAAGTAAACATTTCACCGCCCAAGGGATCTGTTCGAAATCAGTCATTTAAAAGTCACTTTTTGGCACAATCTTCCTCACTTCTTCATATATTTTCTCTCTCTTCTCTCTCCCTTTCAACATTTTTGAGTTTCTAAGCTCTTTAACCCTCGATTTCATGTACTTCTAAACATCTTTGACCCTAGTTTCGTATACCAAAACATAGAGCACAACGAGAGCTTTCTTTTAATCTAAACAGATCGTCTTTTCGTCACTGGTGAATTTTTGGATTTTCTCATCTTCACTTCACGAGATAGAGACTTCTTTGCTGCTCTTCAATAGTTTCGTATAAATAGATGTGTGGTATTTTCTATTGCATAAAAACTTTTGAAAAGATTTCTAAATTGCATGTAAGAGAAAGTTAGGGTTTTGAAATAAAGAGGTTAAATTTATGATTTATCATGAACTATGGAAGTTTTAAACTATTAAAACATGTTTATGCAATTTAAAATAAAAAGCCCTAATTTCTATTTGTTTAATAATGTTGAGAAATGAAATAAGTGAATGACTTCATGGTTAAAGAGTTATGCTAATTATTGTGAATAGAAATTTTGAATATGAGAAAGGAAGAAATGATTGTGGTGAAATTAGCTTATATTGTGGAAGTTGGTAATTGGAATTGGTGAAGTAAATTATAAGAAGTGTATGATATTATGTTTTGGTTGATCTAACTCTAGTAAAAGGGTATTGATATGGATGTATGGAAATTTTATGGAAATCACATAATTTCAATTGTAAGAACTCATGTCATTAAAAGTGTAGAGATTTTGTCCTTGCCCATCGGGGGAGGATGATATTGATTGTTGTAGAATAGGTGGTATAAGTTATATGATGTTGATTAAATTTCATAACTTAGAATGATGTGATAATATAATGAGTTAACAGATGGAAGTGCTGTTACAGGGTCTGTTTCCTTCCGGTTAGCACCTGGTAAAGTGTGACTCTTTGAGATAGGTTACGATTCGTTCTAGTTCAGACCCAGTAAATCATGTGATATTGAATGATTCGAAGTATCCATTTTTTCCAGCTTGTGATTGGTAAAGCATGGTGCATTGAGATAGCAATTCCTTCCGATTTGTGCCCAGTAAATCGTGTAGAGGTTCTGCATTCCTTCCTAATAATGACCAAAAAAATGTGGCGCATTGAGATAGGGTTCGCTTACCTTTCGGTTTGTGCTCGGTAAAGCGAGTTGTGGAATTGATGAATTGTTGAGATTAGTTTGTGGAAAATCAAAAGGTGCCCAATTGCCCTTCCGCGATGAGCCCGATATGTGGAAGAATGTAACATTATTATGATAGTGGTTGTAATTAAAATATTTTAATGATCTTAAGTTGGATGGGAATGTGTGTAAATGAACTAGTGTTGTGAATAATTGGATTTGTCTCATAAATAAATGGATCCCGTTAATTGTTTGATAGTGTGATAGATGTGGGTGTGTATAATTGATGTTATGTGGATTATGGTATGTGGATGTTCGATTGTGCAGCGATTGTCTATGGTTAAAGGATGGTTACAAGAGATTAGAATAATTCTTTCAAATTGTTAATGATAAAGCAAAAAGATAAGAAATGAGTCTTTTGAAATGTTAAAGTGGGATTTTTGGGGAAAACTATACCTCTATGTACATTATTTTGGGTATAAAAGGACACTACATGTCACGACCCAAGCCCGGTATCCAAAGGTTCGGCGTCGCAACAAGATAAAAATAAAATAATTCAAATAATTTTATAGTTGTAGCATAGCGGATAAATCAAATAAATTAAAATAAAATAATTAGGTACCAAATGTTTATTAAAAGGAAACAAACATAGTCATTTGGACTTTTGTTTTATTCTAGATGTCCAATTAGAAATGTTGACAGTACAAAAAAAAAAAACACTATGGTTTATCCCCTATCTTGATTCTGTTAAGTCTCGTCACCTGAAATGGGTAATAGCTATAAACGCATAGCAGAGTGAGAAATATTATACTGTGAGTATAGGGGTACAAAATAGCCATGAATAGTTATTTAAGCTAAAACATTAACATAATTTAGGTT